CCCAAGTACAGCTAGGATTTTAAAACCGACTCATCTGACCCCGGAGCAAGTTTAACCAAAGGGTATAGGTATTCTTTAGTAAAGAAGCAGATGGTTAAGACTGCACAAGATTATTGTGGAAATTCTGAAAGCCACTTTAAAAAAATGACACTACCTCACTCAACCCCAAACAGGGAGTGGCACTGAAGTCTGTACCCTGGGGTGGAGGGGAAGGAGTGAGGGGTGGGGTGGAGGAGGGGCGGCAGGGTGAGGGTGGGACTGCTTAGCTTCTCCTGGATTTGGGGTCTAGTTGGTACTACCTGCCTGCCCTCTCCTATCCCATCCTAATATATGCCTCAAGCCCACCACCCAGCCTCCTGTTTTCTTCATTTCTTATAGCCCCTCCCACTGCCTTTCTGTCCAAATTTTTCTCCCACAACTCAGCTCTACTGCTCCCTTCTATCAGCTACTGCTGTCTGCCTCTCTGCTGACTCCATTCTTTTGGGAACAAATCTCTTTTGTCATTAACCTTTTCTTTAGAAGCTCATTCCACTTTTTTGCCATAATAAAAACCTGACTTTTTCTAGCAGTTAGCTAAGTGTCTGGCACAAATTCACAGCCTTACTCATTTGGTAATTATTTATTCAAAGTCCACCTTCCTTGAGCCTACTGCCCTTTAAGGCTATTTTCCTCTCTTTGCTTTTCTACCCTTCACTGTCCAACTATACACTCATTCCTTAACCTCTTATAATCTGGCTTCCGTCTTCACTATTGCCCTGAAACTATTTTGTCCAGATTATTCTACCACCTCCTAATTGTCAAATCCTAGGCCTCATCTTCAATCTCTTAAACTCTTAATCTCTGTGGCACAGAGCACTCCTGACCACTTGCTTCTTTTTGAAATTTTTTCTCTTTTGGCTTTCAAAATATGTTCTTTTCCTCTTCATCTTTCTTCTTTATCTTTTCCTACAGTTAAAAATGATTAAAGAGGTTTAGGAAAAGGCCTTGGATTTGAACACTTCATGGAAGGCAGAACGCTTTTATAGGATAAAGAATAAAGAACAAGAAAGAGAAAAATGAAAATATCTGATTGGCTGGCTGATAGTCAACCTTGTTTGGAGTGAGAAGGCCCAGAATTGGCTTGGCATTTGGGGATTGGCTAAGGAATATGCTGCATTTCTGGTCAAACAGAACAATCAAGTTTCCATTTGCTGACGTGGCACTTGGGGCAGGAATAGCTCCACCGTGGGTCTAGAAATCTATTTCAACACTACCTCTTGGACCATTCCTTCTTTTCTGTTTTGTGAGGTACCATTTCTAAGGATCTCCCCTTTGCCCCCCTTCTCTCTTGCCTTTATTGCTGAGCAGTCTTTAAACTCTCACCTTTGTGTTGATGTCTCCCACACCATTTTCTTTGGTCCCAATTTCTCTGTGGTTTTTCGGCCCTGCGTGTCATTCTGCCTATAGGACATCTCTAGACGCTTAGACTGAGCTCATTTTCTCCCCCCACCCCAATAGATTTCCCATTTTACTTTCCAATTTATATTAATAATGTTCCATCCATCTGGATGTAAACCTCTCTCTCCGTAGCTATCAGATTCATTCAGACACAAAGTCCTGTAAATTCTACCTCCTAAATTCCTTCTTTTTAATTCAGGTTCTAATCATCTCTCATCCTAGGTCTCCCTGCTCAAGTGATCTTTTTTTTTTTTAAAGATAGGGTCGTGTGTCTCTTCTGCTTAAAGACCTCCCAGGAACTCTGCACTGTGAAGTTCAGTCTCTGAAGAGAACATTCCAGACCTTTCACACTCTAACTCCAGCTTCATTCCAGCCTCATTTCCTGCATCCCCACCTAACAAACTGGGCTCTGGTAATCCACCTGAAACATTTCCTAGAAGCGCACAATGACTTTTCACTCTCTCTGCTTTATTTCTGCTCTGCTCATAACTGCATTTTTTTTAACCTTTTGTATTTTGAATCTCAGGTTCAGAAGGTTGAATTATTGACACTCTGCAGTTCATGACATACTATTGTAATTGGCCCTTCCAAAGTCCTTCACCTGTTATTTATCCGTGCATTGCCCCACAACCTTTCAATGTATTTAATGTATATGTTTTTTTAATGTATATGTTTTCTTATTTGTTCCTGTAAAATATCTACTTTTTGTGTGTCTCTATATTTAATTTACATTATAGATCTCATTGTGTTTCTTTGTAAATTTAGCACTATGTTTCTAAGCTCTGTCCATGTGGTTAGTCTATTACTTCTGATTGCTGCATAGTACTTCTTGGTGTGTACCCAGCACATTTTATCTATCCTTTGATAATGGACACTGTGAATGTTTTATACCTGAACCCCTGGACAAGGCCAGAGTTTTATCACTACCTAACACAGCGATTCTCAACCCTATCAGACTCAACAATCTTCCTTAAATAACAAAAGTATTATAATGTCTCCTTTATTATTCTGAAATGACATTCACAGATCATATAACATACTTTGGTAGGCAGCCTCTCAGAGAACCCCCAATGATGTCTGCCTCCTGTTATACTCATCCTTGTGTAATCCCCTCTCCTTGAGAATAGGCTGCACTTAGCTGAATTCTCTTAAATGGAATAGGACAGAAGTGATGGGATGCCACTTACAAGGTTAGGTTACAAAAAAAAACCTGTGGTTTCTGTCTTGGGTGTTCCTGATTCTCTCCCTCATCTGTGCTGAGAGAAGCCAGCTGCCATGTTGTAAGCTGCCATATGGAAAGGACCATATGGCAAAAAACTGAGGGAGGCCTCTGGCAATAGCCAGTGATGAACTGAGGCCTTTAGTCTAACAACCTGAAGGAACTGAATCCTGTGGACAACCATGTAAGTGATTTTGGAAGTGGATCTTTCCCCATCAATACCTCAGATGAGACTGCAGTCCCAGGCAAACACCCTACCAGCACCATAAGGGACCTTGAGCCAGCTAAACTGCACTCAGCTAACCTGCACCCAAATTCCTGACCCACAGAAACTGTGTGATAAATGTTTGTTTTAAGCCACTAAGTTTGGGGATAATTTGTTACAGACAACAAATAACAAATATACCTAACTATCCAATAATTTAAAAATAATATATAATGCCCTATTGTAATAGAAAGATAAAATACAGACAGTGAATTATAATATGTTTCAAGATATAAATGCTCAGGCATGACTACACTAGAGGGTATAATGATTTTAGATGCTTGCCCCTACATGTAGAATCACCATGAATGCAAGAGCTACAAATGCAGAATGACTCCAGTGAGTATGCGCTACTCAAATTATTACAAGTGATGTGGCTTTTGGTGACATTATTTCCTGAAATGGTTCACAGCTCTTGGTAAGTTCCAAACAAAACAAAATACAATATCCCTCCAATTTTAGGGTACTTACTATTTGGGGAAAAGCTCAGTTCATTCCTCCCTGTGTCTTTCTTCTTTACTTTCACACAGAACATTTAACTTCTGACACTTCTGGTCACCAAATGTGGGCTTCTTTTCCCACACCAAACTGTCTGTACAGCTGGGTGTCCTACAATCTAACTCAATTCTTCACACTATCTACCTGGAGATAGTGTTAAATCCCATGGGCTAAGGAAGGGCTCAATCCCACAAGACTGCCTCCCACTTTAGATGCCAATCACAAGTAGTAGGTCCCAGGTTGCCCACATGTCTGTCCACCTTGGCTACAAATCAGAGGTTCCCATGACTTTGCTCCCCCTTGGATTTATTTGCTAGAACAGCTCACAGAACTCAGGGAAATATTTACTTAGATGAACAGCCAGATGATTAGAGTGAGGTCTGGGAGGGTCCTAAGTGAAGAGCTTCTGTCCCTGTGGAGTTGGGGGTGTGTCATTCTCTCCAAAGGTGGATGTGTTCCCCAACCTGGAAGCTCTCCAAACCCCCTACTATTGGGATTTTTATGCCTCATGTAGGAATGATCAATTATTAACTACATTTCCAGCCTCCCTCCCATCTCTGGAGAATGGGAGCTGGGGCTGAAAACTCCAACCTTCTGATCGTGGCTTGGCCTTTCTGGTGACAGCCCCCAGCCAGGAGCCCACCCTAAATTGCCTCATGAGAACAAACGATGCTCCTATCCGCTTACCACTTAGGAAATTGCAAGGGTTTTAGGAGCTCTGTGCCAGGAACTGGCAGCAGAGACCACTATATATATTTTATATTATCTCACAGTTGCATTCCTAGAAAATCAAATGTTAAGAGCATAGGACATGCTTTGTGTCTATACGTTAACAATGTCAGGTTCTAAGCTCAGATAATTAAAGATTTTTCGTTCGCATGAATCTTTAGCAGGACATTCAGAAATATTGTGGGACCCTTCCTTGTGTGGCATCATGTCTTGCATTGCAGAACATTTGATATCCCTAGCTTTAGCCTTCTAATGCCAGTGGTTTTCCTCATTGTTCTGAACACAAAACTCCCCACAAATAGTTAATCCTCAGTCTAAGGGGTGGTGTTTTCCTCTTAAAAACTAATAGCGAAGAAAAACATACCCAATAACCCGTACAGTGCTTGGCATTTAATAATAGTGTAACTATAAGTTGTTAAATTTGTTTAAATACACTCTTCGGGCAGCCCAAGAACGCATAGCTTCACAACCCCGAACCAGGAAGTGGTGATTCGATATGTAGAAGGCAATTCAGAGCCACAACAAGCTATACACCGCTCAGTCCACGATTTCCTTTTTTTTTTTTTTTGGCTAATGTTTAATTAATCCGTGACCCCGATCACAGAGCGTAGAGCTCATCCCCCTCCGTAAACTCCGTGGCCTCTGCTGTTAGTTTCTGCGCATCTTCTCCCCCGTCCCCCACCCCAGCTGGCCGAGCAGGCCCCGCCCCGCCCGGCGCGTCACCGGAAGTGAGGCAGAGGAAATAGTAAAACCCGCTGGGAGCGAGGTGGCGGAGAAGTGTAAGCTGGCTGGTGGCATGGCAGACGAGGAGGAAGACCCTACTGTGAGTGACCACCACTGTTCCACCCCACTCTTTTCTTCACTCCCTGGGGTACAGAAGCGGATCCTGAGTTCAGAATCACTCGAGATTTTCCTTAGCGAATTCACTCGAGAGAGTTCGGGGACTTCACGCCGTGCTAGCCTTTCCCTTCGGATTCATCTCTTAGTACGTGGGGCAGGACGTGACGGAAGAGTAGGAAGGTGGCTCCTTGTTCTTTGCTTTTGGTTTGTATTTGCTAGACACTCTTTGAATCGCCTGGGCGGTCATCAGAGGACAGAGCTAATATTTGTTAGCTCTCATGAAAGAACACTGCAGCTGGTAACAAAACTATATACTTACTGTAAAGTTGTGGGAAAATAATGGACCGAAAGTCAGGCAACCTGGATTTCAAAATCTCTGTTATCTATGATCAAGTTACTTAACTTTGAGCCTCGGTTTTCCTGGCATAAAATGGGGTTAAGGCTTATTTGAGGAAAGTTCCTAGCCCTGTATGAGCAGTGCTTAGAGAATACTAGTTTTGCTTACTTTGATTAAATACCAACTCTCTGGGCGCCTGGGTGGCTCACTTGGTTAAGCGACTGCCTTCGGCTCAGGTCATGATCCTGGAGTCCCGGGATCGAGTCCCGCATCGGGCTCCCTGCTCGGTGGGGAGTCTGCTTCTGCCTCTGACCCTCCCCCCTCTCATGTGCTCTCTCTCTCTCTCGTTCTCTCTGTCTCAAAAAAAAAAAAAAAACCAACTCTCTCTCTCCCTTTTTTAAAAATACCAACTCTTTTTTTTTTTTAAATACCAACTTTTAATAGTAAAACTGTGTAGTACTAGGCTAACTAGTTGGTTTAAAAAAAAGAAAGTATGGTTATTGGAACTCTTCCAGGAGAGGCAGTAGGATTATTTGTTAGGGACACTGTAGAAGCCATTCCTGCATGAGTGGGAAGTTGGATTGGATAGTCTTTAAGGCTCCTAAAATGCTAAGATTTCATAATTTGCTGCTTGTTTTAGGCTCTCTGGCATGACACAGTGTTGAAAATGGAAAAAAAAAATCAAATGCAGTGCTTGACATTTCTATATATACATTTTAATTTATAGTTTGAGGAAGAAAATGAAGAAATGGGAGGAGGTGCAGAAGGCGGACAGGGTAAAAGGAAGAGACTTTTTTCTAAAGAATGTAAGTAATATTTGACAATGATTTAATTACAGATGATAAAAACTTTTGGACATGTCTGTTCAAAGTAGTTTAATGTTCTGAATGTGTTTCTCTGTGGGGACAATATTCTCAGATTTGCCTATAAAATTCTCTAGTTTCTGAATCATAGATATGAGTGATCCTAACCCCAAATTATATGTGTATAGGTGGGTGGGTGTGTGTATACACTTTTTTTTTTTTTTAAGTGAGGAAATGTGATCACTGTTTCAATTCAGGGCCTTAGAACATACCTCCATTACTTTTTGTGTCCCTTGCTATTGCAGCAGAATTCCTTTGTCTGCAAGTCAGAGGTTTTGATGGATCCTGGGACAGGTGCTGAGGGTATGGAATTAAGTTGGGGCTTTGGACTAAGGCATTGGACAAGACAGAAAGGTGGTGAACAGTGTAAGACATTACAGTGGCATAGAGATTATAATGTATTGGTTCTCTAGTATATTCCCTCAGTAGGCTGGTTTGACTCTTTTTGGCAGCAGCAAGAGGGAGAGCTGCTGTTTCTAGTGATAGTCAAAGCCAGCCCCTGAAAGGCACTGTGACAACGTGCTCTCCATCCTGTGTCCTTTACACAGTTATGGCTGAGTATTGACAGATGAGACAACACATGAAGATATGGTTTATTGGGTGCCTGGGTGGCTCAGTTGGTTAAGCGACTGCCTTCAGCTCAGGTCATGATCCTGGAGTCCCGGGATCTAGGCCCGCATCGGGCTCCCTGCTCGGC